TCATCAGTCCCATTGACTGCCAAAAGAACAAATCTGCCTTAGAAAAGTACAGCCTGAATACTTCCTAAAGGCAAGGATGGATGGCAAGACCTTCATCTCATGAACTTTGGACACAGAAAGAGGGACCAGCCTCTGCAGAAGGCCATCATGCTTGGTAAGGTCCAGGAACATTGAACAAGATAGATGGGCACAGCGGCGACATCGATGGGCTCAAACATACGAACAATTGTGAGGATGGCACAAGACCAGAAAGTGTTTCTTTCTGTTGTACGTGAGGTTGTTCAATACAACTCAACAGCACCTAACAACCACAGCAACTTCATCAATAAGATCATACATTTCCGCAGCAATAAACTATAAGGCCAAAATACAACATAAAACACTATGTAGCCTGTGTGTGCATTTAAATCTTCTGAACAATGCAAAGTTATAATTTTAAAAAACCCACCTCACCATCATCGAGTCGATGACCACTCTTGGCAACCGACAGGACAGGGTAGAACTCCCCTGTGCATTTCTGAGACTGTGGGTACTGAAAGAGAAAGCCCCATCTTTCTCCATTTCAAAATTAAAATGCTCCATTCTGTTTACCATGCTGTATGGACTTCTACTTACTACGATTTGTTAGTAGTGCTTTAGTAGTTCTGAAGTGTTTCTGGGACCAGAGTCGTTTAGAGGTCCAAGAAAGAAACTCCAGGAAGCTTTCTGACATACATACTTTTATAAGTAAAACATCACCAGGCAAAGGTGCAATGCTAAGAACAAAATATAAATGTCTGATTCTAATTCCTACTCCCTTATTATGATGAGTACAATATGTGAAAATAATAACTTTATATTTACTTTAAGTTGTCAACTTAATGAGTGTCCTTTTGCTTGGAACTTGATTTATTTGGCTGTTTATAAAATGTTCAAACGGATCCACTTATGGAATTAAGTAGATCTTCACAACTGGACGGTATGTAACATCATGATAAATGAAGAAAAGATTGAAATTGTCAAGGATTTGGATTTGCTTGGATCTACATTCAGTGCTCATGGAAGCAGAAATCCGGAGATCAAAAGACACATTACATTAGGTGAATCTGCTGCACAAGACCTCTTTAGAGTATTAAAGAGCAAAGATGTTACTTTGAGCCATGATCCTTTCAACTGCCTCCTATACACGTGAGAGTTGGTCATTGACTAAGGAAGACCAAAAACTAATGGATGCGTTTGAGTTGTGGCGCTGGCAAAGATGATACAAAGCACCAAGGACTGCTAAAAGGACAAACCAATCTGTCTTGGGAGAAGTAAGGCCAGAGGAGTGCTTTTTAGAGGCAAGGATGGGGAGACTTTGTCTTACATACTTTGGACATGTTCTCAGGAAAAAGCAGTCCCTGGAGGAGGACATTATACTTGGTGAGCGGAGTAGTGGGAAGGTGGGAAGCTCTCAATGAGATAGATTGACACGGTAGCTGCAACAATGGCTCCAGCGTAGCAGAATTGTGAAGATGGCACAGGATGGGCAGTTTTTGTTCTGTTGGACTTATGATTCAGAACTGATTCGATGGCACCTAAAATGACACTTATAATTTTAACATGCTTAATAAAAATACTAAAATACTAAATGATGATTTATGAGCAATAACCAAGAGTAAAGAAATATGGACCCTAGGGCATGCAACAGAGCAGCAAGGGAAGCAAAGCAATGAAGTCCCCGAGGAATCCCCAAAATAGACTTCTGGAGCAGGGCATGACACCTCACCAGACCCAACTGGAAAACACACATACATAAAGGTCAGTAGACAGACCTAGAACTTTTCATGGACTTCTCTTTTGTTGTTGTTGTTTTATCATGTCTATCCAGATAAGATAGGAAGGATAAAGAATCTCCAGAAGAAAACAATGTGACCAGTGATTCCAGGGGGACATGGGAGAGGGAGAGGTAGGGGGAAAGGAGGGAGGAGTCAACAAACCCAGGAACAAGGGAACAACTAGTGATCTAAAATTGATGGCGAGGAGGGCATAGGATGCCTAGTGGGGCTTGATCAAGTGAACTGTAGCTGAGAGGAATTACTGGGAGTCGAATGAAGGTCCAACATGATGGTGGGACAGGAGGAAAGTAGAGGGAAATAGAGGAAATAACTAGGAGGCAAAGTACATTTATAGAGGTCTAAATACAGGCATGTATGTGGTAATATATTTATATATAATCATAGGGAAATACATCTCTGTACATATACTTATATGTTAAATATCAAGTTAGCAGATGAATATTGGGCCTCTCCCTCAACGTAAGAACACTTTGTTCTAATAACTTGGCATTCTGTGATGCTTACCTTCCTGACATGATCGCTGAAGACAAAATAGGTGCATAGCAAATGTGGTGAAGAAAACTAATGGTGCCCAGCTATCAAAAGATATAGCATCTGGGGTCTTAAAAGCTGGAAGACAAACAAGTGGCCATCTATCTGAGAAGTAACAAAGTCCACATGGAAGAAGCACACTAGCCTGTGTGATCATGAGGTGTTGATGGGATCAGGTATCAGGCATCAAAATCTCAGAACAAAAATCATATCAATGTGAATGAGATGGAGTGGAGACCCAAAGCCCATCTGTCCACAATTGGACATCCCCTTACTGAAGGGTCACAAAGAGATGAGCCAGTCAGGGTACAGTATAGCACCGATGAAACATACAACTTTCCACAGTTCTTTAATGCTTCCTCCTCCCACTATCATGACCCCAGTTCTACCTTACAAATCCAGGTAGACCAGAACATGTACATGGTACAGATAAAAGTTTCAACATAGGGAATCCAAGACAGAAAAACCCCTCAGGAACAAGAATGGGAGTAGCAATACATGAGGGTAGGGGGAAGGTGGGGGGAGAAAGGGAGAACCAATCACAATGATCTACACATAACCGCCCCCTCCCAAAGGAGACGAACAACAGAGACATGGATGAAGGGGACAGAAGTCAGTGTAAGATATGAGAGTAAAAACAATTTATCAATTACCAAGGGTTCATGAGGGCGGAAGGGTGGGGTAGGGAGAAACAAATGAGGAACTGATACCAAGGGCTCAAGTAGAAAGAAAATATTTTGAAAAGGATGATGGCAATGTATGTACAAATGTGCTTGACACAATGGATGTATGGATTATTATAAGAACTGTAAGAGCCCCCAATAAAATGATTTTTTTAAAAAGGTTAAAAAACATGAAAATAAAAGTTATATGTTAGCTAAACTACTAAAAAAAAAAGAAAAGAAAAAATCCAACATTCTGTGCCGATTATTATGAAAAAACACAGCCAATATATGAAACATTACATATAAGAACTCATTTTTTGGATGGTAAACATGAGTATTAATCATGGGCATTCCAAAATGAGCCCTGAGGATAAAGAAAAAGCACTGTGGATGTTAAAAAATAGGTTATTCTTCCAGAAACAAAGGTAACATTCCAAACCTCCTTGTCTGTGTCTTTACTGGAGAATTTCCTTTACAAATTATTTATCATGTAAAACTTTTCAGATATTGATTTTATGAAGAATAATTCCTACATGATTATGTTCACTTAAAAATGTTGTATTTGAAAATAGGATATTCAGGTGACACAGCATTCAAGGGAGGGTGTTCTATGTAATTGTAAAAGTTTACATGATAATGTGCAATTTAAAAATGGCCAACAGGTATAAGTACCCAGAATAACCAGGTGTCAAAAATGAAAGCCTAA